ATGGAGGCGTTTTTGGTCTGGATGGCAGCTTTCTCAACTTCCAGTACTGCCACCTTGTCTGAGTGCTATTGCATAAGGGCAGTCAAAGCATCGACTCTGGCCTCGAGACAAGGATTGGTGTTATTTGAATTTTCAGCCATGGAGAGTTTCCTTGCGAAACGGGGTTTAAATGACGAATGATTACCAGAGACTCCACGGTGGGCGCCAAACTGTAGATGAAAAAAATATACCTTTACAGAAATAAGGTCTAATCCTGTGAGGTTGAGGCCACCAGCAATCCGCTGTACCTACACACACACGAGGAAACAAGCGTGAAGCGAATGGAAAACACTAGGGTGGTGTTTGGCATAGACACTCCGACGCTCAAGTCAGCAAGGCTGAATGAGTATAGTTTAGTGAGGGTTAGGGAAAGAGAAGATTACCAGGAGTGAGAACTAATGGGTTCAAAGGTGTAATGCCTGTGTCCTCTGTGAAGAGGGTTGGCCTCTGTTTAAATAGCAATTGTAGGATCTTCGAGTCCTAGTAGGACCGTGGGTCCTTGGAGTTGAGGTTTAGTGAAAAATGAGAACCTTTGACTCCCTTACCTTAGTGGGAAAAGGAGTCCCAGCGGGTCTAAGGCATGGATCTTAGGTGAGTTAGGATAGTAATGGACCTCTTCGATAAAGTTCGGATAGTCCTGGACTAAGTAGGCAACCTTGGGCTCCAAGTAGATCCTAAGTCTAGTAGGTGATCTAGGATCAAAGGGCCTGGGCCCATACAAGCTGGTGATGAGGCCTAAGCGAATCATGCCTTTGTTGATTGGGCCTGAGTAGTGAGCAACATGGTAGGTATACCGAGCGGACCTAATATGCAGACTCTGTTGTGGGCCCAATTGGAATTGAGCCATCGGTCCGAGCTTTGTTGAAGGTGTCTTTGTCTTTGGGTCTATTTGGGTCGAGCTTTGTAGTTTTTTTCCCTATTTTTGCAATGCTTCAATAGAACAATAATGGAGAAAAGATTTGATAAGGTTTACTTCGAGGGAAACTACATCCTTAATAAGGTTTACTTCGAAGGAAACTACCTCCTTAATAAGCCAAAGCTTTATTGAATTTCAAAAATATGAAAACCCTAATAAAATCTAGGGCACTTACTTATAGTTTTATACCCAATTCTCCTTTTCCATGTTGAAATAGGAGTGAGGTAAATTACCTAGTTGACCCTAATTGAATTAAAAGCAGTTAAGTAAAACTGGAAAATAACGTGCACAACAAGTCCTTATTACTAATAGGAACATCCAACAAAAAATCCTACTAATACTTAAAAAGAGTCCTAACACCCGTCCGCCCTTAAAATTTTCCCTTGTCCTCAAGGAAAACATTCGAGACCCCTCTGAATTCTACATTGGTACTACTTCTTCACGGGAATGGTTGGCTTCATTTGCGAAAAAAACTCCTCTTCTTCATTATGAGGCCAATTTCCTTCAACGAAAAAAAATTTCTTGCAGCGATGACCTGGGCCAAACTTCTCATTGCAGTTATAACATAATCCCTTGGCTCGCCATTTCGCTAGCTCAACAGGAGTTAGCCTTTTCACCGGCAGGTTGCCTGCACTGACTGTACTTGTAATAAGGTCCTTTGAATCTTGTGTGACCGCTCTTCTGGCTGCCAGGCTATGTGCTTCATAAAGTTGGGCAAGGCCTATAGCGACCGTCAGAGTCGCTGGCTTGGCGGCTTGAACATCCAGCTTAATTCCTTCTTGTAGACCACTCACAAAACATCCCACTTGTTGCTCTGCCTTTAGTCGTCCCGCTCGAATTAACAATCGCTCAAACTGCATTTGATAATCCTTCACCGTCCCCGTTTGATGTAACTTGGTTAAGTCTCTGAAAAAATCTTGATATTGAGTTGGACCATACCTTACATGAAGACCCTCTTTGAAAGCTTCCTACGACACGATTTCTTGCTCCTCTTTAATTAATTGATACCATAACTGCACATCTTCTTCCAAATTGGACGAGGCGAGGGGAACATGCTCCTCCTCCGGTGTCTGATGGAAATAAAAAAATTGATCAGCCCTACAAACCCAACTCGTCAGGTCCTCTGATCCATTGAACCTGGGAAAATCCAGTTTCACCATTTTGGGAAGATAGGAACTGGATCCGGCTGCCGCTGATGTACTGGCAGAATTACCTCCACCATTAGACCGCCCGCTTTTTCTTTGCATGCTGTTCGACGTCCCTTCCTGTTCCTAGCTAACGCGATCCAATATAGTATTCATAGTGGCAAACAGTTCCTGCATAGAGTCTATTATCTCTCGAAACTTCTTTCCTTCTTCCTCCTTCAAACTTCCCACTTCCGATTCAAGTCGCTCTAACCGTTGCTCAGCCATGCCTGGCTTTGATACCAATCTGTTATGTGCGTGGCTGGATTGCCTTGTGCAAGGAAAGGATTGATCTCACGGGCTGAGCACGTTGCCTTGGCACAACGAACGTAACTCACGATTGCCCTTGGATTGGTTTCTTTTTCCTATTTTTGCGGTGCTTCAGCAGAACAATAATGTAGAAAAGATTTGATAAGGTTTACTTCGAGGGAACCTACTTCCTTAATAAGCCAAAGCTTTATTGAATTTAAAAAACACGAAAACTCTAATGCAATCTACGGCACTTATTCATACCCAATTCTCTTTTTCCAAGTTAAAATAGGAGTGAGGTAAATTACCTAGTTGATCCTAACTGAATTAAAAACAATTTAAGTAAAACTGGAAAAGTAACTTGGACAACAAGTCTTTATTCCTAATGGCAACATCCAATAAAAAATCGTAATACTCAAAGAGTCCTAACACATGGTCTATTCTTGTAGTAAAAAGACAGCTTAAAAAGGTTGTCATTTGGTTCAGAATGCAAATCCCAGCCTTCCTTCTACACCTACAGATTTTGTTCCAAAATTTTATCCAATCTCTATTAACAGAACATCTAGATAAAGCCATATCGCACTTAAACAAATTTAAATATGACACATGTAATTCTTTAAAAACCGATGAGCAATATGAATAGAGTTGTGCAGGCAAAACTGAAGCGAATGTCTTCTGCATCCTTCAAAAAAAAAAAAAAAAGAGCTTATATAGGATTAAATTTGGCTTTTAAACCGTTTTAACTTTAATTCAAAATGCATGTAATGAGCCTAACGACTATGGAGTAACTTGGATGGGCATTATGGACTTTTCAGTTTTGTTTGTTCCACTTTCCTGTTATAAAACATTATTCAAGGGAAGGCAGTTGAATTTATATGGACAGTGATTAAATGAATTCAAACCTCTAGATAATTGAGGCCCAATCCAAAAGCCACACTTGATTTGGGCAAATACGACTGCCCACAAGGAATAGGCTAAGATATGGCTTTCAAGTGGACTGGCCACAAAACAAATGGCTTTGAGAAGCCCTATGCTATGAAAATGAAAGTCACTTTCATTCAAAAGAAAACACTTAGCTTATATTATATATTAAAATGACTTTCGGCTTGAATTAAGAGATTGGTGGGTTAGGAATTTCCAAAAGAAAAAATAAATTACAACTACAACTAGTACCCAGTACCCACTTCTCTGAAAAGCTCCTTCTTTGTTCGACCTAAGATTCCATTTCTCCATTAGTAGTAATACCTCAATCTGAATGTTAACGTGCTTACTTCCAATTACATTACATGTCCATTTTATTATTTATTTATTTTTGCAATGAAAATTAAACGAAAGATGAAATAGAAATTTATTTATCTATTTATTGAAGACGAAGAATTGAGTGTTAGATGTTAAATGAGCAAACAGCTGGTGACAAACTGTTAAACAGTTGATTAAAATAGGAATAACGTACATATATCAATATCATAAAATATACTTAGGCAATTAAGATTTTTGTGTTTAAGGTCTTTGAGTTCAATTCAATTTTTGAATATATTATTTAAGTTCTTGAGTTTAATTCTTTTTATTATTATTATTATTATTTAAGGTCTTTAATTCAATTCACTTCGACTGGAAATAAGGGTGATAATTGAAAGTTTATTGATTTTTAACTGTAAGGTCTCATAAATTAGTTGAAATACGTATAAATTGGTTTATATATTTCCATTATAAAAGCAAATTATAAATCTTTTATTTAAAAATAAATCATAACGAGTAACTATATCAAATACTCGGTCTCCTCTTTCTTACATCATTCACATGATGCACATTGTCTCAATATTTTTTTTAAATAAATTTGTTGGATTCACTATTACAATACTTTTTAAACAAGTATTTTGGAAAAAAGTAAAATTTAGTTGTGTTGGTTGGGTTATCTTTAAAAAAAAAAAAAAGTAATTATTAATGTTTTGAGAATTAAATAAAGTAGAATTGAATTTTGAGAATATTAAAACAAATATATTTTTTTATTTTTAGGATTGAATAGTAAAATAAGATAAGAGTAATGATAGTGAAACAAAGGGGTCAATATGGCTATGTTTGTTTCCCTATTTCTATCTATCTTATTCGAAATATATGTTTGTTTCTTTATTCTCAAAATTTAATCATATTCTATTTAACTCAAAATATTTAGATTTTTTTAACCCCTTAAATTTGTTAATTTAACTAAACACCCCCAATGTTAAAACTTTATAAATTGACAAAAACACTTCCACCCATCCACATATTTCCGACAAAATCGATCACCATCGTTGATATTTAATATGTAAATGAAGGTATTTTTGTTAATTTTAAAACTTTTATTGTAAGAGATATTTAAGTAAATAAACAAATATAAGAAGATTGATTATATCATATACATTTTTTAATTCAAATCATATCTTCTTAATAATAAATCAACTTAGTTTTTTCAAAAACACTAACCAAAATAATAAGACAAATACTGTGCATGCCGGTGAAGTGGGAAAGTAGATGATATTTAGTAAATGGAAGAAGAAACTGTGGTTGAAAAGCACTTGATGACTGGTCCCCCTTTTAAAGCCATAAATCTAGGTGCTGTGCTGATTGCCGAAAACAAAGAGAGAGAGAAGTCAAGGAATCCCAAGAGAGAGAAAGGTAGTAAAAAAATATCAGAAAAAGAAACAGAGACAATGATGTAATGTAATTGTATGGTATGTTATGGCTTCGGCTTTGGTGGTGAATATAACTCAACGAGAGTGTTATGTTTTTTGTCCCCACTAGTTTGATTCTTTCTCTTACATATCTTCTTCCTAAATCTATCTTACCTCAACATATCTTTCTCTTTCTTTTTTAGTTATTTTTGTTTTGGAGCTGCACCAGATTTTGTGATGGTAGATTCTAGAATGGGATCCTGGTACTTTATGAAATTTTCATTTCTTGTTTTCTTTTCTTTTTCCTTCTATAATGTTACTGTATCGTTAGTGTATGTGTAGCTTACTTTATGCTCTATTTTATTCAAGTTTATCTCCAAGTTCAGATGTCTTTTATTTATGAAGTGTTGCCAGTAATTTCATTGTCCTTACTATTTTTAGAACTAGTGTTTGTTGAAGAATTCTGCGTTTAAAATTCATAATAAGAGAGAAAAAGGATTGTGCGCAATATGGGTTTTTCATCCTTCTATCAGTTTGCTAACATTCCCCACATAGCAAAAGAAACCAACCCATTTGATCCCATGGAAGAGTTTGTTGTTTTAATGCTAGGAAGTAAGTGGTAATACCTAGTTTCTGTTAAGCCTCTTGATGTTCTATTTTTTCCCTTTGGGAAATAATTGAATCTTGACGAAAAAGGATACTCTTGTTGCTGAGCCCAACGGTTGAAATAATGGAGAATAATCAGAATTCACTGATTGTCTACCATTAATTTGGGAGTGGGTGCATTATCTGAATTTTTAGACAAACCCAATTAATTATATTATCCTTCAGTTTTAAATTGTATGCATTGGGATCCATGCTTTTGGTACCTGTTGTCCTCTAATGGTATAAGATGGCATAATCCTTCCAAGAAACAATGTTTAAAGCAAGAGGAAGTAATCAAGTGGTGGAAATCGCCCATGTGATTGATTGGTGTTTCTCACAAATATTGTAGAATTTCTTATCTCGCTCATTGTGGTGGCGCTAGCATGGTAGAAAGGAAAAGTATTTCAAGTAGGTTTAGCTTTGGCAATTAAGATAATTCTGGTTTAGTTCAGTTTGACTTTCATGGTTGTTAAAATATGTTATTTATTTTGAAGTTGGTTCTTGTTCTGAAATAACTGAGGTGGTCTCGTTCGTTATTTAACTGAGAGAAGATTATAACTTCTGAGAGTAGCTGATGTTTGTTAGAAAAAATCCTACCTCTCTTGTAACTGGCATTTCTTTGTGGGAGCGATACAGGGACTGAGCACAAAGTACAGTGTACAAAATCCTTGCAAGCCTTATTTTTTGCCAAGGATGCAGCAATTAAGGATCTGATCTGAGGTAACTTTAATAGCCAATTACGCTGAGGAGAAAATGTTGATGCAAGGAGATTTTGATATGAATTCTGTGCATGCATACACTGATTCACTTAAAGAAGCTTTGAAACACACAATGCTCAATCAGGAGGTCATATTTAGGAACCAGGTATGAGAATGCTATTGCATCACCGTATTTGGACTTCTTTTTTTTTTTTTTGTCTTTTGTTGATTGAGTTGATATTGAGCTCTCTGCTCTGCGTCACAACCTTCGGTTCTGTTGTGTGTCTCAAAAATTAAAAGTTCTTGCCAACTGGGTGGTGGCTTAAAACAATTGCATTTCATGGTTTTCTTTTTTTTTCTTTTCTTTTTTTTTTTTTTGTATGATACTCTTCAATATATGGCTCTTCAATCTTACTGGAAAGACAGACCACGAGGACCTGCATATTGTAAATATCCTTACACATAAAAAAAATCATGACTTCTCCTCTATATCTTATGCTTTTTGATAGTGTGATTTTTCTTCAGGTACATGAACTCCATCACTTATATATGGTGCAAATTACGCTGATGAAAAATCTAGGCTGCAAGGAGTTTGATAGATACATTTCGGGGATAGATAGCGCACAATCATCACTGATGCCTCCCATAAATCTTATAAGAGATGTACCATTGCTGAAAGAAACAAGACTTTCCACAATTCCAATGGTAAATGAAGCTGTCAAATTTTGTCATGTTACAGAGTTTGATCCATTCTAAGCATGTGGGATGGTTTTATATTCTTGTGAATTGTTGTTTTCTTACTTTTTCTTTTTGTGTGCTTTTTGCTTTTGGAATTAATCAAGTTTTGGGGCTTACCATCATTAGAAGAGACCTTGTAATGATTTGACTCCTAACAGTTTCTTGGTTTTACCTCGATTAGTTGTACAATTAGTGCTCTTCAGTAAGCACATAGCTCCTGTCATGTGCATGGCACTGATTTTATGCCTGTCTTCCATGGAAGAATCAGTGACTGGCACATTTTTTTTTTTCATTATTCTGAAGAGAAAAAATGTTTCTGTAGCTCATATATATCTTTGCATGTCTTTCAGGGTGGCTCCTCACGATCTTTGAGCCAGGAGTTATCAGGAGAATGGGGTATGGACTGGAAGCTTCAGCAGATGTCTTTTGATCTTCAACTTCCTGCTGATCTGTACAGCAGCCTTGCTGACAAGGATTTTCCAAACAAAAGGAATGTCTTAGATCTCTTAAAAGATACCTCAGACAGTTGTGCTGGTAACATATCAGATGCTGTGGACTTGACCCTTTCCCTCAGTCTTGGAGAGGACAGCAGGAGAAGAGAAGGCACAAAGAAAACTATCTCTTGTCCTCAAGCTGTCATCAATTTAGAAGATTCAACTGAGGGGATAAATAGCAATGAAGTGGAACATGCACCTTCTCTGGGCTGTATTCCTTCAATCACAGCCGCTGGGGGAAAGCTTGAGTCACATGAGTCCATATTATCTGATCCAACAACCCCAAGCTGTGTGAAGCAAGATATTTCTCACAATTTTGCAGGTAGTAGCTCTCTTGTAAATAGCCATCAATGCTGTCAAGAGCAGCACGCTTACAATCAAGGTAATGATGATTTATGCATATGAAACTATTTGTACCTTTATAAGTACAAGCTTTAATCTCTGAGCTTTTAGTCTTTGCAATTTGAACATACTGTTAGTTATGGCAAATTAAAATTCCTGTTCATTGGTCCAATTGCAGAAATTAAAGAGTCCAAGAATGATAGCCAGTGTAACTATATGTCCTTGGATAAGCACCAAAAACTCGCTTCATATGAAGCTAGGGTCATGGACCTGAACAAAATAGACCTTAATGACTCATCCTATCACTCAAATGATCCTATGGTGACCTATCCTTCAACTGCTAGCTCATCAGGTGGTTATCGTGAAATAGTTGGCAAGGATAAAGAAGAGTCTTATCGAACCACAATTTGGAGAAAAGAAATTAATGACTGCTCAAATGAAACATCTGGCATGTGTCAACAAGATGTCACTGTAAATGTTGCTCTGACAAATCCAGATAACAAAAATAAGATAACAGAACTATGGCATAGCGATTCCAAGCTCAGTGGAGTGTGTGAAACAGAAGCAAGTGTCGGGGCTCTCAAGTCTGTTTTTCGGCTGCCAATGGACCTCTGTGAAGAGCATGGCAGCTGTCGTAGTGACCTTAAGAGTAAAAAGGATAAGTCGATGTCAGAAAGCCGAAGTGAGCTTTTAAATGATCTGAATAATACATGTGAAGTCGCTACACAAGTGAGCTGTGAGATGAGTGAAGTAGAAGACACTGTATATCTGTGTTCTGGTCGAAATCAAAATCCAGGTCAAGATAAACATGAAAATAAATCTTCAGCTTCGTACATGTCTTGCTGCACTGTTGATAATGTACCTAAGACCACTGAATCTGGGATTGAAGCAGGAAATTCTAGTATTCCTCCTTCTGATCAGTTATCAGAAACCTGCATGCACTCCCAAGTTGCAAAAATCTTATCAGGTGGGCAGGACCAAAGATCTCCCAACTGTAGTGAATTTCAACAAGAATTCATCAATGACAAAGAAGAAACAGCTAAACAGGATATATTGGTCCAAAGCGCAGCTGAATCACTTATCTCCATGTTGAATTCAGCTTGTTCTCAAGATTATTCAACCAGAACAGGGTCCAATGAGATAATAAATGAGGAGAGTGAGCAGCCACAGAGCTCTTCTGATTCTTTCGAGTTAATAGCTCTGAAGCTAACAGAAAGCAGTTCTGGTGATTTTTCAGTGTCATCAAAGCCATTTGAACTAAATGATGTAGATAAAAACAATATTGGTGTCAAGTGGAGAAGGGGGAGGAGAATGAAAGATTTTCAAAAAGACATATTGCCTGTTCTGGTGTCTCTCTCCAGACATGAAATTTGTGAAGATATAAACATTATGGAGGGAGTCTTAAGATCTAAAGAATACCGGAAAAACAGAGCCAAATTGGCTGATGAGGAGAGCTGGTGTTTGCCATCAAAAAGTAGACGCACAAGATACAATTATACTCGGCAAAGAAAATTTTTATAAAACATCAAGTTTACGTTCAGCTGTGATTTATATCTTACCATAAATTTATTGTGGAACTTGTTAGTAGTAAATTATTTAGATGCTTACTGTTAAATGAGATTTTTTGTAGGGTTTGACTGTTACTAATGCATTTTGTTTCCCCTTTATCTTTCCGTAAGTGGCTTCTCTGAAAAGGAGAAACAAAAATAACTATGTTTCATTTATGCCAGATCATTGATAGCCTTGTGTACATTACAGTTAAGAGTATGCATCCTAAATGAAGTAGCATCACCGCCAAGACAAGGTATGGCTATTGCTTCAGCAGATACAGATGGTCCAGCCGGATTTTTTGCTTCTGTAAGAATTTTCAGATTGAGATTTCTAAGTTAATGCAATCTGCAAAAGTAGAGTCAAATTGGATGTTTTCTACCTTTGGTCTTGGTAGAAGCAAATCCTTCTTCCCATATTCTTAGAATTGTTACTAGTTTCAAAAGTATTAGATTGAATTTTTGAGTTAAAGCAGAATTCACATCTGTTATATTCTCTTCATTAGTACTGTGCTTAAACAAATAGAAAGGAATGGTGTATTTTGTTGTGAATATGCTAAAAATAAAACGTAAAAGAGGGGCTTTGGTATCAAGCCAAAGAATTTTCACTTTATACTTCAGTCAGCTATGATTGGCCAAAGCTTGCCTACAACTTAGTTATACTGCTGAAATGGTCCTGCTTAAGAAAGCAACATTTATCCCACTACATTCTCCTAATATAGAGCTGTGTCTAACACAAAAACACTAGATACATGCACAATTCTGATACGGGAATTTCTTTAATTTATCTGAAAGTCTGGGAATTATTGAATACAAATCCTTTCTATGCCTCTTCTGACCATACTTGTGAATGATTGAATTGTCTTAAAATCAACAATGATTGATTGATCCTATAAATCCTAATCATACAACATCATAAAATGTAACTGACATAAACAAAATAAATTGATTATCATATGATTTCCTGGAATTGATAGTTACAGCAAAATAAAGAAAGAAAAAATGGGAGGGAAGTGGAGGCAAAGGCATTAAAGACCATCCTTTAGGGACAAGCATGTTTCAATAATGGATGTAAAAGGGAAAAAAGCCAATTGAGTGAGAGAGACTGCTTCAAAATGTTGGTTGGTTGGCTGGTTAGTGGATTAGATTCATGGGCAAGTGGAAAAATGCCGTATGAATCCAAACTTCTTCACCTAAATCTTTGAATCTTTGTGTGTCTTCTTATGTACTTATAAATACCCCCCAACCCACATTATATATTATGGGATAATTTATAATACTCTAAACATTATCTGTTTGTTTCTCACTTGTTTTACGTTCCGTGTATCCTAAAGGTGAAGCCGGCTAATAGCATATCAACCTTATCAGGAAATTACAGAAACAGTTAAGAAATTTTTCACAAAAATTTGGTCTTTTTGCTCAGTTATTTACTAAATAAACATATTTTTTATTATTTGGTTGTTTCTGGTACGAAGATTTTTCAGAAGTAAAGTTTAAGGATATTGACTCTTAACTGTGGAGTGCTTCTGATTTTGCTCTGCCTGAGGTTTAGATAATCTATGAAAGAAGCTTCAAGCGTCTTTGTTTCAATGACCCCGAGATGGGAATTCCAAGTTCATGAAATAGCTCAAAGCAGTTTTAGAAGTGCTAGCCACCTATTTAGTTATATTTCTAATCAAAATCAGAAGAGAAACATTCAAGAAGTGAGTCTTATTGCTGAAGATGCTGTAAATGGATTGAAAAAATTGGTTACACTTCTCGATCGATCAATGCAGCAGCAGCCTGATTGCAAGAGGATCAGGAGGGGTCCTTTGCCATATTCCAATAACATAAATCCAATTCAATTCATGGATAGTCCTGTCTCTATGTCTCAGAATTCTGTTTCCTACTCAAACCATTCACAAATAATTAGACAGCTAATCCCTCTCCAGAGTATTCAATCAAGTAGTGCTTTGATTCCCACCAATGGTTTCAACTTGTACAGTCAGACTGATCCTGTGGACTCGGTCAAATTGATGATGAGGTTGAACCATTCTTCACAACATGTTCACAGAAAGATAATTCATCACTCTTACTCATCATCGGAAGTTGTGGGTTCTGAGGATGAGCTGTCTATTTTGTCTTCCAAGAGCAAGACTGGCACAGCATGTGTAGCTTCAACTGGTGGATATCACTGCTCCAGGCGAAGGTAAAATCTTATTAATCAATCAATTTCTTACCACTCATAGATTTTTCCAAAATCTCACTTGTTCCTTAAGCTAAGTTTTTTATTTCTGTTTATCTATTTTGAGTCATATTTGAAATATGGACAGGAAGCTGAAAATAAAGAAAACTATTCGAGTTCCAGCTGTGAGCAATAAACTAGCTGATATACCTCCCGATGATCATTCATGGCGAAAATATGGACAGAAGCCTATTAAAGGATCTCCACATCCTAGGTATGCTCATGTTTTTATTTATTCATTTTCATCATTCTATTGTATAACCTTCTAATCAGTTCATAGCAAGGATTCAAAATTCCATTTTATTTTTCTTTGTACAGTTGCTTTCCTCTCCTGGACTGTGACATGTTTTTGCTCTTGTAAATTTATCAAATTTAAAACTTTGTTTGTATGATTCTAGGTTCAGGTGTTTCTTTTATTTGCTGAAAAGAAAAGAGAAAACATTTTTCTTAGTGATTATCTATTAATTAGAAGAAAATCTGGTTGTGTAAGTCTGTAAGATTCCAAGATCCTTTTCATTGAGATTAATTATGAAGTAACTTATATTAATTTTAATTGTAAAAAGGTTTTATTTAACGAAACTCAGTTACTTACCTAACTAAAAGTTTAAATGAAAATGAAGATCAAAACATGTGGGTAAGCTATTGGGACAATAATATTAACATTTTTGATGGTTTATATTCAAAGGAGCTATTACAAATGCAGCGGGATGAGGGGCTGCCCTGCTAGAAAACATGTTGAACGATGTGTGGAGGATCCTTCCAAGTTGGTCGTCACTTATGAAGGAGACCATAATCACCTGATAAGTCGGTGAACAGGGTCTAGTTAAGTATATGCTTCTTTTTTGGTGTAATCAGAATGCGAAAATAATAATAATAATAATAATGTGCGTCGTAAATGTATACATTTGCCATTTACATATTAAAGTTTGAGTTCGAGATTTAGCAATCTCTTTACTGGATGGGCCAAGTGAACTCCTATTTTGAACTTTATTTGCCAACAAGAAAGGCCTCTACTCTAAAGCATCCAATAGTCAAAGCGGAGTTGGCTCTTAAACTTTTGATTAAACAAATATTTTGTTGGTAATAAAGAACATGTCAATCTGAGATATGCCATAATTATGGGCTTTGATATAAAGTGTTTATGTGGATTGATGGGCTTTGTCGAGATGTTTGTTGATGGTTTCAATAAATTCTAGAAAGAAGATCTGAGAGAGAGTGAGTGAGGTCCAGTAAAGGAAACACTTGTTTTTTAAGTCATTGGATACTCTTTTAATTACTCAGGAGAATGGATGAATAAAAATCTTGGAAAAAATAGTTAAAAGATCCTCTTATGATTAAATTGTAGAATGAATGATTAAGGTCCTTTAAGCGATATGAGTAATTAGATTTAGATTAATAAAAAAAAAGCATCATCTTCGTCTGTAGGCCCAATATTGATGGAATTTCAACAGGGGCTGGGCCATCTTCTATGTTATTTGTTAGTGTTACATGATAATCATTATCAACTACATTACTCGATAGATATAACACAAAAGAGATTAGTGCTAGGCAGCTTCTGCTCTATGTACATTTATGTTTAATCCACTTTTTTTTAATAAAATATAATAGAACCTATTTTTGATTATATCAATCCAAACTACTGAGAGGAATGATAATTGATGAAACTGTAGTAGAAGAATGTTGTGGATCCATTTACATACTCTTTGGGTAAAAGTATTAAGTCTCGAATCAATCATTTACAGGAAACTTCCCTTAATTATTATTCGTTTAAACAATTGATACTTGCCTTAATTAGTAAACTTAACTACTTGATAGAAAACTACATTAAATATTTAAATTTCATTAACTAATTAAATCTTGCCTTAATTAAAAAATCATAAATTTGATGTGTTACTATCTAAAATTGATTGCTAACAAAGTCTTAATTCTGATTTTATAAATTTTGTGTTAGTCTACCAAAGAATTTAGGTATTATCCTAGGTCCTAGTACACTTCTAATTCCTAGTACACATCCTATTCTCATTCTTCTTTTAAGAAATAGATTTTAACGAATCTATTGTACTTACTTTGGTGACTTTGGCGCATATAGATATGTGTGTGTGTGTGTGTGTGTGTGTCCCCTTTACGAGGAATCTACCATCTAACTTTTTTTTTTTTTTTTTTTTTTTTTAACCATCATTTTGGCCTGGAGAACGACATTTTCCCACCCAAGGTTTGATGAAACGACACTTTTCCACCTGTCAAGTTTCAAAATAACACTTTTTCATCATTTATTAGGTTTTGTTAGTGTTTGCTGTTAATATTTGACTGAAAAGACGAAAATACCCTTAAATATTTTATTTCTTAATTAGTTGATTATAAATTAAAATTTAGTTAATTCAAAGTCTTTATTCGATTATTTATTAGTCCAAGTATAAAGATACATTTTTTTTCTTTGTTTATTTAATTAATTAGGAATATTGATTTTTTATGTTAGTTAGTAAAAATAAAAAACATTATAAATAATAGTGATGTGGTATTGATGATATTATAAATAAATATTAAAATTATTTAACTTTAAACAATTTTATAGCGTTACTCCTAACTTTTTAGGTGAGGTTAACTATTTTTTCTTTTTTGAATTTTTAATATTTGACTTTTTGGCTAATTAAAAAATAATAGAAAAATTTTAAAGTAAAATATTTAAGGGTATTTTCGTCTTTTCAGTAAAATATTAACGGAAAACATAACATAACCTAATGAAGGGTAGGAAAGTGTCATTTTGAAACTTGATGGGTGGGAAAGTGTCGTTTTACCAAACCTTGGGTGGGAACATGTTGTTCTCCCCATTTTGGCCCTATCAATACAATGTCGTTAAAAGAAATAGATTAAAAAAAGATTTTTTGGTATTTAATTATGATAGTGAGAAATGCAAGAGAAAAATAAAATGTTGAGTGAGATGTAAAATATTTGTTTATTGATAAAATATAGGGTAAATGACTTTTTCCCACCCAAGGTTTGCTTTAATGACACTTTTCCACCCAAAAAGTTTCAAAATACCACTTTCCCTTCTAAAGTTTATATTCTGTTACTATCCAATGTCGATTTCGACTGCAAAAATTCTCTCTATCACCACCATTTGAACATTCAGTCTCCTCTCTACAAAACCCTTCTAACCGCAGTACCTGATTTCTCGTCGATTGCTAGTCACCATAAAGTTAGAGTTTCCTGTTCCTAGCTGATTTCGGGGACAAATATGCAATCGGTCACCACCATTCAATCCGCCGACCTTCACTCTACAAAACCCCTCCTACCTTAGCTCCTAGTAACTCACTAAATACTAACTAAGAAAATGAAGTGTATTTTGGGTATTAACATAATATAAACTTTGGGTGGGAAAGTGGTATTTTGAAACTTTTTGGATAGAAAAGTGTCATTAACACAAACCTTGGGTGGGAAAAGGTCCTTTACTCTAAGATCAATAATGCTACGGACACCGACATTTTTATACCGAAATCTTGTACCGGTCTATGTGTCCCGTGATTCACACCAGCAAACCAGACATATTTCATGTTATTAAATTTTTTTCCAGTGAACAGCCGTTCATCAAATATGGATGACCGTTCACTTACATGGACTTCTGTTCATATTATATGGATGGGGGTCCATTTACTACGGAAATTAAATAAAAAAACATAAACAAAATTAAGGGACGGTCGTCCATAACTTGGGGATGGTCGTCCCAAAAAATGGACGGGCGTCCACATATAATGGACGCCCGTCCAATATTTTAATAATAAAATTTTATTAAACAAAATTAATGGACGGGCGTTCATATGGTTAATGAACGCTCGTCCATTAACAATGTTTTTAAAAAATAAAAAAAAACTTGGACGCTAGTCCACAAGGAATGGACGGTCGTCCCTCATGTGCCATCAGTTTGATACAACAAAGAGAGTCAGGATTCCTAAAGATTTTTGACAGCATCTAGGGAAGCAAGGTCGTTTCTGACAAAATTTTTGAGAAAGAAATTGATAAAAGAAAAATTACAGATTTTTGACAGCATCTAGGGGATGAGGCGAGTGCTGAGGTGGTAGAGTTGAAGAAGAGTCTAGGAGAGAAGGGAGTGAAATTGGAGGGATAAGAGAAAGAGATTGATGGGTTGAAGAGTGAGAAAGTTGATAGTGAGAAGAAAGTGAGGGAGTTGGAAAGAAAAGTTGGGACTTTGGAAGTGAGGGAATTGGAAGAGAAGAGCAAAAGCGTGAGAGTTGAAGAGGAAATGAGAGAGAAAATTGATGACAAAGAGAGGGAAATTAGTGGGTTTAAGAAGAAAGTTAATGTTTTGGAGTCTAAATTGGATAAGTGGATAGTTGAGAAGAAGTCAGTGGAGGCAAGTTTGAAGGAATCAGAGAGCAAGTCCAAGGAAATGGAGGCCAAGATTACTGAGTTGGAGAAAGAGATTGATGAGGCGAAGACGTGATTAGTGGACTCAAGGAGAAGATAACTTCCAATTTTGATTAAGGGACGGCCGTCCAGAAATGGTGAACGGCTGTCCCTTTATTTTATTTAAAATTTTATTTTTTTTAAGTATGGTGGACACCAGTCCACACGTTAGGGACGCCCGTCCACAAATTAGGGACGGGCGTCCAATTTTTTTTTTTTTTTTTATATTTATATTATGGATGTGCGTCCTTTAAATGAGGACTTTCGTCCGTAGTAAATGGACCCCCGTCCATAGTAAATAAACGGCCGTTCATAGTTGATGAACGACCGTTCACTAGAAAAAAATTTAATAACATAAAATGTGTCTGATTTACTTATGTGAATCACGAGACACATAAATTGGTATAATATTTCGATGTAAAAATACTGATGTCCATAGCATTATTGACTCTAAGATATACGTATTCAAAGCAACCATTATTGCCTTCTTGGTCATAAAAGATTTTTAAATTTGGAGAGAAGTGGTGAAAAGTGATAATGAGATACAAAAAGTACAATTACAGAAAGAAAGAAAGAAAGAAAGAAAGAAAGAGAGAAAGACAAGGCTAAAAGCGTATTTAGTGCTGCCCATAGATTCCATTGCTGCTTCTGTACGGACAAGAATATCTCTAAAAGATCCCCTCTTTTTATGTAGTACTCTTCCATTTCCTTTCCTTTTCCGCCTTGGGTTTTTCACATTTTACTATTTGACATATAAATAAATAAAACATAATATCTTGAAGGGTTTATTTAGTTAAAACCCCTATAAGAAATGGTTGAGTCTCGTTATAACGAATTTTTAAAAGTATTAAAAACACTTCTAATTAAAGTATTATTTTAAAAATATTTTTAGGGATATATTATATTTGAAAGGTTTATATATATATATATATATATAAGATGAAGCTTTTCTTCAAGGGTAAACAAATACCCAAGTTGTCAGTTGAAAGTTGAGACACAAACACAAATACTGTTAATTTCAATATTAATGTATAGTCCCCACCAAATAACAAAACAAAACCCATCTTCCCTTCCATGTTTTCTACCTATCTTTATTTTCATGCTTGTGAAGTTCTTCCAATTTTATTCTTTTTTCCTTCCTCTTTTTCTATTGTAAATTAACATCCTCTTTTTCTTCCAATTTATACAAGAAAAGCGTTGGCTAATGGCAAGTCAACCTTATACCATTAAGGAATGTCATGTGTCGCTTGCCTATTGAGTCACCTGTTAATAGATCTAAGAAACCCTAGCACATAAAGATAGGGTACTCCACTACATTTTTTTTTATTGTTATAGAGTTTTAGGGCAAAACTCTTACCCAAAATCCTCACCGAAAGCTCAATAAGACTAATATCAATCTACACATTGTTGACTTAAGTGTCAGAGTGTTCACACCAACAAAACACCTTACTAACTGAATTATTTTCTCTTTTTTTTTTGTTTTACAGTTTGTGAAGCAGTGAAAGTTAGATTGACCCAAGGAAGAAGATGAATCTAAAGTCTTGTGATTTTACTAGTTAACCCTCAGATCATTTTTTTGGGTGTTAAACATTAACCTATGATTTTTAACTTTCCTCCCATCAACATCTTATGTTTACTTGTTAGATAGCTTCATTATGTATCTTCAATCAATGGGCTA